GAGTCTAGCTTCAGTGCCACGTGATGGTTACACAGGCGAAGATGCTGCTCGCTCGCTATTATATATATATATATAACCCCTTTATTCCATCTCTCCAAAATAAGTCTGCCAAATGCTCTTCTTATAGATCCCAGAAAAAGAATCTATGATATTACTTGTGGCTGCTGACTTATATTTGAGAGATATGTTTGGAGAGGGAAACGATGAAAACTACATACTTGCTCTCAAACTGCTACCCACATTTGCACACGGCTTCCAAGGTTACCACACCAATCTTATGCCTCAAATACAGTGGCGATTTTCTTCTGGCCATGGACGTAATGGTTCATTTTGTCACAGATTCCAAGTGTGTCCTTGTCAACGCCCGAGTTTTTCTATGATTGACTTCGAATATTTGTGATGAAATCATGTTTTATGTTGTTAAAAATGTTGTCGGATACTTCTTGACTTCACATGTTTGTGCTTCATATTATCTCTATTTCGATTCTTTGAAGATGCAACTCAAAACAAACAATGCACTTCATCCAAGCTAGAAGAAGGAAAAGACCCTGAAATCTTTTGAGTCTTAGAACTGGTTCCACCGAAGCTAAATTCTGTGCAAAGAACGCTTGGCAGTCCAGATTCCTATTCCCATTCCCATTCCCGATCCCGATCCCGATCCCTCAAGTGAGGCTCGAGATATACATAGATATCTGGGCATGGCTCGATGCTGCGGAGCTAAAATTATACCTTCCTCTTTTCCATATAGGCCGCAGAGACATCATTAGTCCCTAGCTATAGCGATTGACGGAGATGCTGATACATCCCATTCTTACACCTAGCTTATCAGATTACCATCTATCTATATGTTCATAAAAGACCATGGGAAATAAGTTGAGGAGAATAGTGGAAGATTCGAATGATTAGGAAAGATTCCTAAGCTATTCGGGTTGTGAAATATAACAAAATTCAAGCTAGCAGTGTTATTTCAGGTGATTCACATGCAACCTGCTACTGCGGTAGTCTTCTTACTGCTTTTGATGCATTTTGACGGAACCCCTTGGACGAAATAGATGTATGATGGAAGTCGACCTCAAAGTCGGTATCCATTACTCATGTTCGGAATCGATTCTCTTAGGAGTGTCATTCTTAACTTTGTGTTGTTGTACCAACTTATACCTTGAGGCCCTGAAAGATGATCTCTCAAGCCCGATTTTCCTTGTTAATACAGTGGAAGTACAAGTAAATGTTGAATAGAAAAATCATCAACTCTAGGCTGAGTACGAAAGGCTATTGGATTCTTGGCTGCCAAGTACCAACAACTCAACCTCACTCATCCGCATTTTACTATTGACGATGGTGACATCGATATGTGTCACGAAAGCAGCAATACGTCGTAAGTCAACCCAAACTCCAGCCCAACCTCAATATTGCCTGCCGGTATCAAAATCACGGAAAGCAATGAAATCGAAGATGATAAAAAAAAGAACATTTGCATTTTGAAACTAGCTAAAAAGAAAGAAATACTGTAAATTTCCCGTTTCCCCAATCACCTACCACTTACCACCCACAAAAGCCCTAAATCCTATCTCCCTCTCCCAAACCTGCCGGTCTTCCTCCCGTAACCTCGCTATGCACCTCATACTCCCCACTATATTCCGGGAATCCTCCTTGCGCACACTTCACCTCGGTACTCACCACACTAATCTTAAGTCCTTCGACATTTCCCCTGTCAATCTCAGTCCCATCAGCTAGCGTCACTCTCCAATGGAGATTTTGTCTCAAATACGGAATGACATTCTCGGTTTCGAGAGATCCGAGATCGCCATTTTTGTACAGTTTGAGGAGGATGGGGGTTAAAGGAACGGTGCCGGAAATCATGAGGGAGCGTGCTTCGTCCTTGATGCATTTTCCGCAGCCGGTAGTTTCGGGGTTTTTACCAAAGGAAGAGAAGGTGCCAATGGTGGATTGTTCGGTTGCCTGGGAGTTTGGTTAGTTTGATGCAGTGAAGAAGTTTGCGAGGGGGAGATGAGAAGGGAGATGAATAAGCACATACCCAAGTTGCAGGATCGGAATTGAAATCTCCAAGAAAGATTCGGACGCGATAGGTTTGATGGAGAATATGCTTTGGAGCACGAATATTGGCAATGTATTCGCGGTATTTGATTGGTCCCGCGGTGGCAGGAGCTTTAGATGCTTGAAATGCTGTTAGAAAATTACCGAATGAGCAGAGTAACGAGAAGGGATCTTACCTTTTCCAATCTCAGACTCAAAGTCTTCTCCACCTCGAACAGCGTCCCCAGGCTTAGGCTTAGCCTTGGCGGAACTGTGAAGAAGATTTGACAAGAAGTTATGTCCGTGAGAAGATGAAGCAGCACCATCACCAATAGGTTTCTGAGCTGCATCGCTGCTATCTGCAACAACCTTTTCGGCCTGAGTAGAAATTGTCTCAGGTGCAGCAGCAGTTTGTACGCCCATCAATTGCATAAATTGGTTACTAGTAGCACCATACAACGTCTGCACTGCGGCGAGAACACTTGTTTGATATTGCTGGACAGTAGGATATTTCCATTGTTGAGTCTCGGGGTAGGCGTAGTTGAATATGGAAGTGCTACGCACGCCATCGGAAGTCCAGTAGGTTTTCCCAGTGGCATTGTTAAATGGCGTCAAGGGAGTAGTGCTGGTTTCTTGGCTACCGCTTTGGATTGAGAAAGTTCCATCACCAGAAGGCTTGTTGATTGCATAGCTGTTGGGGTTTAAAGCTTGCCAGATGGCAAATTGACGATCGACATTGCTGGTGAATGTCAATATTCGAAATGATTTTAGCGTTGACAATAGAAGAAGAGTCATGACTTACGTATGATGCAACCAAAACAATGGATCGAAAGCTGCGTAATCAGGATCGCCCATCTGTCCATTCCCACCAGTTTCACTATGAACACTATTGTGTACATCCTCGATACTACCGTATGTCCCCGGAGCATTGTTTGATGCCCATTGATGATTGCTAAAGGCATCGAACTGCTTATAATTGGGATCTCTCATGATCAAGTAAACATTACTCTGGTAAGAATCAAATTGCGATTCCATAGCGTCAAATACCTGTTGCTCTTGAGATTTGGCGGTTGCACTTCCATTGGTTGGATATCGAAGAGTGGTTGGCCATCGTGATTCCTAGAGATGTCAATGCCTGCTATGATACGCTGAAGCTTAAGGATGATTGTTCATACCGGAGCACTAGGGAAGTCACCCTTTAAAGGATTCAAGGGGATGAACTTGTAGGAATAGAGGGGGTTATTGATTTGAACTGATTTATTATTTGAGGTCGGAGTTATGATTTGGATCGATGGTTGTCCAACAACAGTAGGGAAGTACTTATCACCAGCGGGTGGTGCAGCAGCCCAGTCCCAGTATGGCATACGGAAAGTCAACGCAGCTTGTTGATAACGGGTCTTTGTGGAAGCGGGGAATGTAGCAGCAATCTTTTGTATGATCTGATACAGATATTGCTGCGGACATGTGAGTATTGAGTAGAAGAACGAGTAAAGTTGTACCCACCTCAAACAACGCAAGGTATGGACGATGCCATGGTGCAAAGAGAATAGAGCTGTGGGTACAGTAGCCCTGCCATCCAGCCGGGTTATCTCCTTGTACTCCACCCCAGGGACGATAGGGGCGTCCATGAATACCTTGAAAAGTCAGAAAGATACATATGTACAGCGAACCATGCTTCAGAAGACATACCCGCAATTCCATACCAAGATAGATCTGACTTCTGGTCAAGTTGTTGAAAAGCCTGAAGACCAAGTATGTAAAGCGTCCATTGATCAGGAAAGTTACGTTGGAGATCACGAATCTCACGCCTCAAAGGAACAGATCCTGAGAATTTAGCAAAATGAACAGCACACAAGAATGTAGCCTTACCGTCAGCAGGAGTAGGAGAAGGCTTTGGAGGCCCGGTAATAGGGTAGTTAAGTGCCGGAATGGTAGCCATGATTGCCAAGTACTGCTTGTGCACTTTCTTTTGTGAGCTATGCAAATGCTTAGCTATCAAAATGAGATAGAATGAGAAAGTTTGAGGGATTTAATGATAAAGAGGGATTTCAGAGATATATAACTACTTTTTGAATGCTGCGTTGACAAAATTAGATAAAGGCGCATTGGGGCGTAGTTTCCAAAGAAGTCCTTGTAAACGGCTGTCTACATGAGAAAAGCTACAGACAGTCACGCCAAGATAATCACGAGAATTCAGCTAAATGAAGGAAACATAATTCACGAATCACCAGTGTATAAGTGGGAGCTTGTGCATATTGCAGTGTAACGGCTTGATGCGTATACCGTGATATTCGTATGCATATCCAGTACATCTTTTGCAATAGACGATGGCTTGATGACGGTCAGAAATATTATGACTCCACATTCATTTCACTGGTCACGTTGGTGCTTTATGTCTCGGTGGAGCCAAAGCCATAAGCATTTAGATGCAGCCTTGTAAGATGTTCGGGCAGAGACAAATGATAAAAGTTACACGGTCGTATTATATTGCAATATGCGGCCCCTGCATTAACCCCGCATTGGGGAACCTCAGCCGCATTCCACTCACCGACTGAACGATCGAAATAAATTCAGCAAGCGACTGAAAATAGTTCTTGAAGGAACTCAAATAAAATTCAATGAGATTATTATAAGAAGAGAAAGTGATAACAAGACGTCGCTCAGTAAATAAGTGAAGGCCATTAAGCGAGAAAGTTTGAGGGGAGCACAGATGGTAAGAGGCCGAACTTCCTGTGCACAAGTTTCAACTCCACTAAGAAGTCAGTGGTTCGTGGGGTCAATGCATAAGATTTGTTATAGGGTAAAGCGGCCAAGAAACGACAAGAAAAACGTAAGATAAAATGCTTGGGCAGAGGCGGAACTGTACACAAATTTTATGCATTTCATTTTATGTATACCAAAGATAACAAAGGAAAAATAAGAAAGAAGAAAAGTCTATCTGCACCTCTCAAAGATAATCCCCGCAATCAAAGCAACATCATACCTCCGACCATGCTGACAAGGGTCACTGCAACAACCCCGAAAGCTCTCATATCAACCTCAGCATTTCTTCCACCAGCACTAGAGGAAGAAGATGTAGAGCTCGACGAACCGACAGAAGCAGTGTACGTGACAGCACCAGAACCTGCGGTGGCAGTACCTTGAGATTCATTTTCAGTATCGCCAGCCTCTTGAGATCCAGCTCCATCCAAACCAGGTCCATTACCCGCGCCTTCAGTCATGTATTTCTTAGCAGGAGTAGGGATGGCTGGAAGCGCATCACCGGAGACATCCCAATCAGAACTTTCGGTTGGACAAGTGCTTGAAGATCCAGTAGTAGTAACGGCTCCACCGGCGCCTGTTGGAGAAGTAGTGTTTGCGTATGCTTTCTTGAGGTACGTGTATTGTTCAGTGGTGGAGACGGTTCCATCGGTGATATCCACGAGACCATATCCGTTACCCTCGTTAGAATATTCATATACAAGACCTCCAGAGAAGACGGCGGTCATTTCAGTGCTGTATAAAGCGGCTATTTCGGTGAACTTTCTGGTATTGGTAATGCAACCAAACTCGGACATGCTTTGAGATTTGTCAGACATTTGAATTTACAGTCATCAACACAAGATCAAAATGATAGACTTACAAGAGAGGAATACTATAGCCAGTGTAGTTTTTGATGAGAGTATCCCAGCCGGATGTGGTCATAGAAGAAGGATCGCACCATGAATAGTCATTAATTGCGTAGAAATCGGATCGTTCATCATCAGTGCCGCAGTTCAAGTACTCAGCAAGTATATATTGGTTAGAAGCAACGTCTGCAGCCGAGTAACCGACGGGAATGGATCGATAACCCCGGCTACCAATGTATTCCTTCATATCCCGAACGATAGCCTTGACATAAGGAGCACAATTGGTGTTGTTCACATCGTTGATGACTTCATTACCGGAGAGGAAAGCAAGAGTATTGGTGTAATTCGCAAACTTGTCAATTGTTGCAAAAATGGATTGAAGGTAAACACTGTTGTACGATTCTTTTGGTTCGTCTCTGTTGAGAGAGTATAGAGGGGTATCGGTATCGAGGACAAGATAGATACCAGCATCAGCGAGGTACCCCATGCATTCGTCGTGGTCCGCAGTATTGTCAACAGCGTAAACTCTGATTGTATTGATTCCTAGTTCTTTGAAATACTCGACATCTCTCTTGCATGCAGTTGCATTAGCAATGGGATCGGAAGTAGTACCAGTTCCTCCACCTGTTTTCGAAGATTAGCTATAAAGCCTTTCTGAAGGCATCGATAGTTTTACCTGGCTGATAGTCGACACCACGAATATAGAAACGATCGCTACCCTTGTAGAAAGCTGAAAGCAGTCAATATTAAGGCCATGAAGTAGTATTTGAAAGCATACCATTTCCCGAAATCGTAACAGCCTCAACACTTGCAGTAGATGAAGCTCTTGCTGCTAACACAGGAGTGCCAGTAGCTGCAGTCATACCAAAGGAGGCAACTGAGGCAAAAAGCCCAAATATCGTACTTTGCCTCATCTTGTAAAATAAAATTCAGATTGAAGAAAGAAGTAGAAAAATTGAGAAACGATCTATGATTTTTACAAAAGCTAATAATGAGAAAAGAGATATATTGAGGGTAGTGAGTGTGGTTGATATAAGATTCAGCCTTACAGATGCCAAGGAATGGATCTATAAGTAATGAATGTAATAAAAGCGAGAGACTGGAAACACTCGACAAGGGGAGGAAAGAGCAAAGGAAACAATAGGTATAAAGAGGAGAGGAATAAAAAGAAGTTGCTCTGAATGGCGTGGCAGGTAGAACTTATCTTGTTAAAAATGTTATTCTCCACATGAGGAATAACTTCTGATGTTCCAACTTCCAACCAGCGAACCTTCGTATTATTACGCGTCTCATCCCTCACGGTCCCGAAATGGTACATCGACCCGTTCTTTTCGCCAACCCTAAGCGACACCATAAATAGAGATTCACTAGCTGACCCACCATAATTCTCGAGGCTATGTCGATTCACGTGATTGGCCGTCATTTCAATTGGGAAAGACATGGCGAGCTAATTTCCAAGAGATGAAGACTTCCAGTCTCGAGCCAGTCCATCAAAATGTGTTGACCGGGTTCAACAATGAAATCATGCTTCATCGGAAGCGTATCGAAAAATCCCTCAAGGTTTGATAGTGACTTGGTACTTGCGGACACAGTCCCCCCAAAGAAAACGCTTACACGGTTAGACAGCCAATCAAGAAATCTGATGCCATATGATGAAAGCACAGTCAATGTGTCATTGCAGCATAAAATTCTGACCTCCCGAACCACCTTGGAAACCAGAGAGATATTTGTAAAGTAGTAATGGGCGGTACATTGACATCAGGTCATAAAACAATCCGCTATGCCTGTAAAACGAATTGATGAGGACATGATACGAGATGATCTGTAGCTCGTAATTTGGCAACTGTTTCCATGTAAGACAATAATGTCATCGTTAGAATTCGGTTTCCAGGGCGGGGAATAATGTAATCGACATTTGAGAACATTTAAAGGGTTTAGTATTATGGGCCCACCGCTGCAAGGACCAATGTAGTTCAAAGTTGAACTTTTACAGGGAAATCTCCTGACATCGCCCCACAGATTCGTTGTAAGATAAAACCCAAAAGAAATGCTGGAGTCAAACTACTCTGTGCAGCGAGTAAAAGACTCAATGAGATCTGATGCATTGAGCTCTCTCTTTCCATTCCTCCTATAGTATGACAATTCAACGTATTGGGATGAAGTAATGTACATGTAGAAAGCCACAAGAAAAAATACAGCAGTCCTCATACCTTCTGGAAATCCATTTCCAGTATTTGGAAAATCACTGCGGATTATCGTTTAGTCTAGACAGCTCATATGAGCCATGATTGATTTGGGGGGTTGCTAGTGGAGCCATGAAAATACCTTTAGAAAAAGGAGAATTTGGGAATGGATGATTAAGCTGACGCGTGTCATGGAAACTTATGATCGACTTCGACTTCCTTGTGCATACCTAGTATGGTAATTTGTCTTAATAAACTTTCACAATCTACTGAGATTGACATGAGATTGACATGGAACTGAGCTTAATCTTGCTGAAATGCGTCGCTAATGTGGAAATAGAATGCTTCGCTGAGGTCGAAATGTGGCCATGAATTGTTTCAAGGTTCCTGTCAGCATACTTACAGTAGACAGCTCATTAACATAGCCTGCCCAGTGTACTTATTGTGGGCTATGATGCATTGCATTGCCATCTATTCCATCTGAAATGGATTCTAAGAACTCCCGTTCAATCAACCGGAGTTGACAGAAGGATGCAAATAGCGTTAATGGTCAAGGCCTGAGGATTGTTTGACTTTGAAACGCAGTGAATGGTGACCGGGCCTTGAGGTTGATTGGAACATATCGGACAATAGGATGATAGGACGATAGGACGATAGGACATTCTCAATAGCCATACGAGGCAGAACATTTTGAGAAGAGACTGCCTAAGACTTGAGATGCCGCCCAAAAGGATCTAACTGCCGGACAGACTTTTATCCAGTTTCTTCATTTCATCGCTCATAAGTCGAGAATTGCTAGATTTCAGTGCTTGCCGTGCCTTGAATGATGATGTAGGGAAACTCTAGGGCAAAGAGCATTGTTACATCCGAAAATAGTAACAGCAGCGACGATGAGAATCCTTCGAGTCCTCCAACACGACGAAAAGTGTATTTTGACTGGTATTACAGGAAGAGCATCAAGAAGTAGAGAAGAGAAAGATAGATTGTCGTTGAAATTTGTTTTATCCCTATACAAAATGCCAAGCAGCCAAGCATTTGGATGCCGTACAGCCAAAATTCGAGATCACGTGATTATGATTTTTCTGGATGAGCTAAATGTATTGACTGTTCTGGCACAACCGCTAAATCTGGTTTGTTTACGCTGCACCAAGCGAAGAGCTCCACGAATTTAATGCAATGCAGACCGCTATTATATCTTTGATATTAAAGTGAGATATATTACGATAACATGTTGTTATCATATCAACTTTGCGGGGGATCAACAAAATGTCCGTCTTAACCTTTAATCCTCTTGGGCGATCCCGAAGTCTTCGAACTTCGACAGCCTCAAGCAACTTGAGGCTCCCTTCAAGCACCAACCCGCAACCACCCTCTGGCCCCTCATACGTTGCTCTTTTTATAACGAATCTTCGACTTCTGGATCTCGATTTGCGAGATGACTGGCCAGATATCACGGCGGTAACATTCTCTACCAAGGATGCGCAACAGAATCAAAAGAAACGAATACAGAGTGTAGAATGGGCACTGTTTCAGCTATTTGCAATTTGGGATCCGGAAGAGACTCGAAATGTACATTAATGCCTTTCATTGTCACTTTGGATTGAAACAAAACAGCTAACTCGTGTCTATAGAAATTACAACCATTTTTCCCACCACTCGAACCTCTCCAGTCCCTCAATCTGCGCACCGCATTGTTTCGATGTCTCGATCAGGCCAAGAAGAATGGAGTCCTTGGACGAGATACTGTACTGCGAAAAACCATGTTGGACGAATGCAAGGGTGAAAGGCTGGAGGAAGTTTTGGCTGTATTTTCAAACGCTGTTCTGAAAAGGGTCGTAGAGGATGACACCTCTGGACGATACGAAGCTCTTGCCCAACAATTGGCACTGGAGAACTTCTCATACACAGGAGAAAGGACAATACTATCGGCCTTGATATTGGCACACAAGAAATCTTTAGGCAAGCATATTGCTGAGAAGAACAATTTAAGAGCCAAATATAGCGACTTTTCTGAAACACTTGAGCTCAATGATCAACAAACTCTAAAGCGACGGGAAGATCTGAACCATGAGATGAATGAAGGAGAAGGCCATACTGGATTATCCGATAGAGATCTAAGATCATTGCAAAATACATTCCGCAAGAATTGGTCTGGTAGTAACGAGTGGCTGGAAACGATTCTTTACGGAGATAATAGGCCCAGTAGAGAGGGACTGTTGGCCAAGCGTTTTGACGAGCTTTGGGAACAGATTGAGAATGGTACTGTTGCAGACATAGAAGGAAAGAATGATACCGGGCTCGTTAAACGGCTAGAGGCGCGAGTGCAAAATCAAGAGAGCCGTTTAGCTAGATGGCAAGAATTCGGACGGACTTTGACTCGAAACGGTACCAAATCACCCACCAAAAAGGTGCAGGCAGTTCCTGTCGAGGAGAAGGGCATCAAACTTGGTTTCAACGACCACCAGACATTACAAATCGGGAAGTATTCTACAAAGGATGCCAGTTCCGTGAACATCCCCATTCTAGATGAATATGCTCGTTTAATGGAAAGAACTCGCAATGCGTTGAATGATGTATCCAAGCAAAAGGCGTTTTCCAAAGAAAGCATCATACAGGGTGGCTCGAATAAAAGGCTCAACCAGCCTTCTATTGATTTAGCCAAAGAGTCATTGTCACCAAGTAATCAGGATGGGGACATATCTCCATCAACCAATGTATCTCCCGACCATTCGCCTGTCTCGGTGGGAATTCTTGATGGGGCTGCCGAGGTTCCTACTTCTCGTAGTCGCGAGAATGAATTGATTAGTACACCGCGTTCGAGAATATCCCACAGACCAATTCCCATTGGGTCTTCATCAATCATTCAGCCTGAACAGGCATCGGACGATCTCGGTGTCGCTAGTGAGAAATTATTTGAGGCCACAACTGTAACATCGGCTATCAAAGACGACTATATATCTGCCACTCCAAGCGCTATGAGATCATCCCGTCGCCCCGTCTCTTTTGACAAAGACCCAGAACGCGAATTTGGAAGAACCTCAGCTGAGACTCCCGTATCAATCACGAGGAGACATACAATGATATCACAGCCGAGTCCATCTCCTTCTAAATCAATTCAAGCCTCTGAAAACCCTCTCGGACCTGTCCCGGAGCTCAGCCAAGCAGAGCAGATTTTGAACTCTATGTCAGCTGCATCCCCATCGCCACAAAAGTTGAAACGCTCGTTGTCTTTAGCAGAACGTACCCGTCTTACCATGGCTCGTTCGAACCCACGATACTCGAAATCCAACCTTAACGATGATTTTGATGATTCGCCAGATATGGATCGCCTCACTCTAAATCCTAAGTCTAGAGCCACACCTGTCAAGTCTTCGGTAACAGAAGAAGAAAAACATGCGGACTTGATAGAACGTACACGTCAGTCTATGGCAGGCTTTGAGGCAGCCCAAAAGAAGGCACAGTTAGAGCGAAGGCAAAGTATCAAAGATGAAAAGAGGAAACAGCGACAATCACATTTCCCAAAGGTTGTTCAAGAGGAAGAAGATTCATTATCTCCCGCCACGCCAGCAATTGATCGAGAGGTGTTGATGGATGGAAACGATGTCGATTATGCCAGTGTTTTCATGAGTAGACCGAGAATTGCTGTTAGTCCGACTCCAGCGAAGGATAGGATGATATCATCTATGATTGAAAGCGAGGATGATGAATCAGAGGACATGGATGAGGGTATG